ACAGCAACTCCAAGTTGTTTAGTACAGCAAATAGACAAATGATTGCTGTGTCTTTAAAAGAATATTCTACAGGATTTTAAAGTCACCGCCTCGAGCAGGGCTTTACCCTTACCCTTAGTCTAAGGCTCAAGGGCCACCCACTTTTGGGGGTTGGGGAGGAAGAACAGTAACACACAACAAAAAGGACCCCGGAAACTTCCCTTGCCTGACCACCATCAAGATGAAACCACCACTGAGATGACCATCAGCCAGCTAGACGACTTTCAGGGTGCCTTTAAAATCATTGATGAGGTGATGGGTCTGTGTGCTGGCCTGGGGCCTTGGAGTCTTCCTCTACTCTGTAGTTTCTGGGGTCCTTTTTGTTGTGTGTTACTGTTCTTTTTCCCCCCCTCAAAAGTGGGTGGCCCTTGAGCCTTAGACTAAGGGTAAGGGTGGAGCCCTGCTCGAGGCTGTGGCTTTAAAATTTATTGATTATAGAAGAAAATAATTAACAACATATACATTTTATCCTCTTGAACTTTATAAGGACTTCTGTTGTATATCCTGTCTATTTTAAAGGTTCTGGCAGCACAATTACATATTATGACACTAGGACTGGTTAGCAAAGATTAGAAACCATTTAGAAATAATAAACCAAATCGCTCAGTTACCCATACTATTCTGGTGGACTCTGAGGGGTGGTAGATGCCATCCAGTCAGCTCCGATTCACAGCTACCCAGGTACAAGAATAAAATACTGCTTGATTTTGTACCATCTTCACAACTGAAATGGATTAAATGAAGATGAATAAAGAATAACAGCGAGCCTCAAACTTGGATGACTAGAATAATGGCTGTCTTGTCCAGCTCTGTGTGAACCTGTGGTTGTAGCCACGGGGTGGGTCCATATCCACAGGCTCTGAAAACCTGTTGAAGGGTCAGCTGTGAGTTGGTTCCAACTAGGTGGCAATGAGGTCTACCTTACTACGCATGATAAATTCTGTGTTTTGTTTTTGGTCTTCTATTGTTGCTTCTGTGTACAGTTGAATCGGATCTGACTGGCACAAGAGGAGATTGCCTTTCCTTCTCCAGCGGAGCATCTGGTGGATTCAAACTACATACCTTCCGGAGTGCAGTACAGCTTCTTGCCACTAGGCCACCAGAACTCCCCATGATAAATTCTGGGGAGTGGGCTGCTATGGCTTGCAGGGGGCTCTAGAAAGCCTTGCTCTTTCTAAGTCACAATTCTTTTAGAAATTTTAGATGTTGTCATTATTTATTGAAACACTAGAGTTAAATTTTTTCAATTATTATTGTGTGTGTACTATCAAATCGGATCTGACTGGTACAGGAGATAGCCCTTTCTTCTCCAGCACAGCATCTGGTGGATTTGAACCATGTACCTCTGGGATTGCAGTGCAGCTTCTTGCCACTAAGCCAACAGAGCTCCCTTCAGAGTTAATTTTTTAATGTTAAATTGTAAATATATGCAAAACGGAACAAACCCTGTGTTCTATTTAACCAATTTCAACAATGAATGTTACACGACTGAATTGTGATCTTCCAAAAAGATTTTCAATTCTTCTTCTGTCATCCCGAGTCACTGTCCAGCTTCCAGCAGCATAGCAAGTAACTTAAAAGATCATGGCCTGAGTTAAGCAAACCTTGTCCTCAAACTGACATCACTGCTCTTCAATAATTTGGAGAGGTCCCCGACTGCACACTCCCAGGGCAATTTGTTTCCTGATCTCCTGACTGCTGGTACCAAGGGTGTTGACTGTAGATCCAAGTAGATGTAATCACTGACAAGTTCAATCTTTTCTCCATCTAGCGAGATGTTGCCTACTGGTCTAATGGAGAGAATTTTTGTTTTCTTGATGTTGAGCTATTATCTATGTTGAAGGCTTCAGTGTTTGATCTTCTGCAGCAGGTGGTACAAGTCCTCCTTCCTCACTTTCAGCAAGCAAAGCTGTGCCATCTACAGAACAGAACTGATGCCTCTGAGCTGTGGTGTTAGAGAAGAGTACTGAATATCCCAGAGACTGCCAAAGGAGCAAACAAATTGTCTTGGAGGAAGTGCAACCAGCATGCTCCTTGGAGGCAAAGATTACAATGCTTCGTCTCACACAGTTCATGCTGTTAGGGGAGGCTATTCCTTGGAGAGGGATATCACGCTTGGAAGTGTGGCGAGTCAGTGAGAGAGAAAAAGACCTTGAACCAGACAGACTGACACAGTGACTGCTGCAATGGACTCAAGTGTGTCAGGAAGTGTGAAGATGACACAGGACAGGGTTCAGATCTGTTGTTCACAGGGTCGCTATGGGTCATACTCAACTCAATGGCACCTAACAACAAAAAGGTTATGTTGAAGGCCTAACCCCGGACAGCTGTGAACATTAACTTATCTAGATCGTGTCTTTGTAGATGTTGAGTTAATATGAGTCACACTGACCAGTTAGCCTTGAGTTGGCTCCAAGACATAGTGATCCAATGTGTGCCAGAGTAAATCTGTGCACCATTGGGTTTTTTTCAGTTTAATTTTTATTACAGTGAAAATAACCCTAAGAAAGTGTATGCCAAGATCCACAACGAGATGGAGGGACATGCTGACACCACAATGGGTCTGAGCATGGTGGAGACTGTGAAGATGGTGCAGGACAAGGCAAGGTTCAGACCTGTTGTTCATGGGTTCTCTAGGAGTCCTAGTTGACTTGACAGACCACCATCACCACCACCACCAATTTTTACATGTGCAATTTCATAGCACTCGTTATATTTTCCAAGTTGTGAAGCTATTTTCTCATTTTCCATATCATCCTACTACCATAACAGAAATTCACTGCTCCCTCTAAGCAACAACTCACCCTTTCCACTTCCCTCCAACTTTGGTAACCACTAGTAAGAAATGCTTTTTCACATAAGTGATATTATACACTAGTTGCCCTTCTGTGACTGGCTCATTTCACTCAGCGTGATGTTTTCAGGGTTCACCATGCTGTGGCAGACATCTCAACTTACTGTTCTTCATGGCTGAGTGTTGTCAGGTGCCATGAAGTTGACACACAGCAACGCTACCTACGACAGACCTAACCCGCATCTGAGCCTGTACAAGCCTCACAGTATCTGCTGCGTGTAAGCCCAGTGTTGCAGTCACTTTATCATCTAGTTCTCCTTGAGGGTCTTCCTCTCTTCCACTGACCCTCCACCTTTCCATGCAGGAAGGACTGGTCCCTCCTGACACAATGGACAAAGTAAATGAGATACAGTCTCACAATTTTTGCTTCTAAGGAACACTCAGACTGCACTTTTCACAAGGCAAACTTGGTTTTTGTTTTGACAGTAGGTTCAGTACTTTTTACCAAAACAATCCAAAGGCATCCATTCTTCTTTGCTCGTCCTTATTTACTGTCCACCTTGCACATGACCATGAAACAACTGAGTGGCTTAGGTCCCATACACCTTAGTCTTTAAATCAGCATCACCGCTCTTCAGCACTTTAACAAGATCCTTGGCAGAAGATTAGCTCAATAAAATGCACCTTTTGGTTTCCTGACTACTTCTCCCATGGAGTTGATGGGGTGTCCAGTAAAATGAAATCTTTGACAGCTTCAATCTTGTCTCTGTTTATCACAATGTTACTTACTAGTCCAATTGGGAGGTTTTGTTTTCTTCATGCTGTTGTGTAATCTACACAAAATTTGCTGATGCGTTTTCCTCCAATTCTGATCCCGTTTTCCTTATACAGACTGGCTTCTCATATTATTTGTTCAGTGTACAATTGAATATGTGTGATGAAAGGATACAGTTATCACATTTTGTTTATCCATTTATACATTGGTGGATATTTTAATTTTTTTATCTGTTGGCTCCTGTGAAATATGCTAAATTAAACAGTGGTTTGAGTATACTCCTGCTTTCACTTCTGGATAACCTTTAGGGTTTTCAATGGCTGATTTTTTATGAAGTAAATTGCCAGGATTCTTTTCTGACATGCCTCTGGGTCAATGTAAACCTCTAACCTTCAACTATATGCACCATTTGCATAGCCCAGGGATCCCTACACTGGAGTAGTTGTAGTTGTTTACTGTCAAGTCGGAATCAGCCCATACCTGACCTCTAACAGGTTTTAAGAGGCCAGTTAATTGTTTGGGAGGAGACTGTTAATCTATCTTCCACAGAGCAGCTGGTAGATTTGAACTGTGTACCTTTTGTGCTGGCAGCACAATTTCTTATCACTAAACTACCAGAGCTCTCTACATTGGAGTTGTTGTGTGGTATAGTGTTGGAACCAATTCATAGCTGACCCTCCAGTAGGTTTTAAGAAGCAGTAAATCACAAGGGTGGAAAATGCCCATCTTTCCTCCTGTAGAATAGCTGGTGGATTTGAACTGAGTGGCTTTGGGATTGCAGCACAGCTTCTTACCACTAGGCCACCAGAGCTCCGTATACACTGGAGTAGGGTGGGTCTTAATCCAAGAGTATTACCTTTATAAAAGAGACGAGACACAGAAGGCAGCTATGTAATAATAGAGGCAAACACTAAAGCTGTGGTGTCTTAGGAACTGGGAAATGATCCCTCCTCTGCTAGTTTTGAGAAGCATTTGTAATGTACTTACTCAAATTCCTCTTTAATACTTGTCAGAATTTGCCAAGGACCTCTGGTAGTACAGAGGTTAAGCATTTAACTGTTAAAGTCAAGGCTGATTGTTTGAAACCATTAAGCGCTCAACAGGTCAAAGATGTAGCAGTGTGCTTATATGATGGAAATCTACAGGCCATCCTATATTACATGGTTGTTATGAGCTGAGATCTACTTGATGGTAATGAGTACAATTCACCTTTGAAACCATCTCTGCCTAGGGTCTTCCTTGCAAGAAACTTTAAAATTACTAAATCAAACTCTTTAGTAGGTAATATATATATATATATATATATTTTTTTTTTCCAAATTTTCTTCTGGATGCAGTTTCAGTAGTTATATCTTTCTAGATATTAACTTAATCTTCTTTATCTTTCCCTTATATTTCTTTTTTCCCCCTAATGAAGCATTTTATTTGCACTATGTATTACATCCCTGGAAAAAGAATCCCAGGATTTCTCCCGCTGTGTGGTGTTTTTGTCTCGCTTCCTCATTGTTCATGATACCAGCTGAGGTGGTCAGTACAGTGAAACCAAACTGATAGGATGGAAGCAGGTTATTCTGCCACTTTTCTAGATCTTTGAGTTGCACATCAAATCTGGGGCTGGTAACGTCACACTTGTTTAACCTGCCTGTGAGGTTGACGACAATTTTCCCCTGCTCTGTGATCATCAGTGATTTAAAATTTGCCAATGTAGCCATGTTTCATCATCACTGTTAGTGATATTAGTCATCACCTTTGGAAGTGAACTATGACTTTGGAGCATGGCCTGATAAGAACCTGGTGCTTGCCTCTCTTCTCAGAATTGTCAAAGCTCTTCAGATCGTCAGTCAGGACATTCATGTACATCGTTGTGTCAGCACAGAAAGATGAGGAAGAGCTCCTTATGTTTATTTCACAATTTTAGTATTTTGTGCCTTCTTTATTTGGTCTAATGAAAAGCTTGTCAATTTCATCGATGATGTTAAAAAATCAACTTTTGGTAGAATGGAAGTTGCTTTGTTTTGCTTCAAGATGGCTGCGAGGATGTATTTGGAACATTACCTGGACAGTATTGAAAACCTTCCCTTTGAACTGCAGAGAAACTTTCAGCTCATGAGGGACTTAGACCAAAGAACAGAGGACCTGAAGGCTGAAACTGACAAGTAGCACCTGCAGCCTGAGCTCTGAGGAAAAATTGGCCCTTCTCAAACAGATCCAGGAAGCCTATGGCAAGTGCAAGGAATTTGGTGACGACAAGGTGCAGTGTGCCATACAGACCTATGAGATGGTGGACAAACACATCCGGCGACTGGACACAGACAGACCTGGCCCGTTTTGAGGCTGATCTGAAGGAGAAACAGATTGAGTCAAATGACTATGACAGCTCCTCCAGCAAAGCCAAAAAGAGTCGGACACAAAAGAAGAAGAAAATTGCCTGTGCTCGGTCCAAAGGGAAGAACTCAGATGAAAAAGCCCCCAAGGCTGCCCAGAAGTTAAAACTCGTGTGCACAAGTCCTGAGTATGGGATGCCCTCAGTGACCTTTGGCAGTGTTCACCCCTTTGATGTACTGGATATGCCTGTGGATCCCAATGAGCCAGCCCACTTACTGCCTTTGTCACCAAGTTTCCTATGGAGAAATGATTGGCTGTGACAACCCTGATTGTTCCATTGAGTGGTTCCATTTTGCCTGTGTGGGGCTGACAACCACACCTCAAGGGAAATGGTTTTGCCCACGCTGCTCCCAAGAACGGAAGAAGTAGATAAAGCCTTGGATTCCAACACAGTTTCTTCCACATCCCCTGACCTGGGCTAGTGGGGAGAGGAATGCCTGTGCTGGGGTAAGGATTTCATGGAGAAACGGATAGTTCAGTACTGTCAGCCCTTCTCCACCTCTCCCCCCACTCCTGGTGCTGAGGCTGCATTCAAACCCTGGTAGGGAGGGGTACTGCAGCCACTAACAGTATGTGCTCTCATCCAACCCTCCCCCTTCAGAGGAAAGTGGCACCACCCACTCTCCTCTTGCCTCCATGCTAAGGTTGGTGCTGTATTTCAGAGGAGTGGTGCTCTTTGTGCCCCTTGCTTTGTATTTAAGGACTGGAGCAATAGCATGGGGTCATTTCACCAGCCCTCTAGCTTATTTCCCCTTCCACAGGGGAGCTATGATATGATAGACTTTCTTCTTCATTCTCTTTCTGCTTTTTCCATGGTGCAGGCTCACCAGATCATCTGGGCTATGACCCTATTTGAAAGGGCACCCCTTTCTCTGTGCCAAGGGAATTCATTCTGACCTTGTGAATGGGGAGGGGCAGGTGGTATGCAGATAGCACATGTAAAGGAATCTGGGTAGGTGAATAAAAACTTTACATGTTTAAAAAAAGAAATCAGCTTTTAGGGAGCTCTGGTGGCCTAGTGGCAAGAAGCTGTACTGCAATCCCAGAGGTATGCGGTTCAAATCCACCAGATGCTCTGCTGGAGAAGGAGGTGCAATCTCCTCCTGCACCTGTCAGATCCAATTTGATGGTACACGCACAGAATAATAAAATAATAATTAAAAAAATCAACTTCTGATATTGTGGATTTGCTATAACAACATAGTTAGATAATTTTTATTCATTCTGCCTGTCTTTTTTTTTTTTAGGTTTTAACCCCTTTCCATTTAATGTAATTACTGATAAGGCAGGATTGACCTCTGCCTTTCTGCTGTTTGTCTTCAACATGTTCTATACTTTTTTACATTGTTGTTCCTCTATTTCCTCATCAGTGTGTTGCTTTATTAGATAGTATACCATTAAGATATCACTGTCATTTTCTTTCACTGTACTTTTTTGAGTTGTTTTCTTTGTGTTGTCCTAGGGATTATCACTAACATCTATCTTAGACTTGTGTTGGTGGATCGAGTCCACCAGCAGCTCCGCAGGAAGAAGCCAAGCAATCTCCTACTGTGCAATTTACAGCTTCTGAAAACTAACTGGAGAGTCAGCTACGAGTTGGCTCTGACTCAATGGCATCTAACAGTTCAGATTAACACCAAATTAATAGTATATATACAAAAATTTAACTCCTATAAAGCACATTTTCCCATTCCCTGTCTTTGTTATATTGTCATGATGATTATATCTTTGTGCAGTTGTCTTTCAAATTAGAAAATAATAAATACATTTATACTGTCTTTTATGTTTATCTAGTTACCTTTACCAGTGTTCCTTATTTTTTCATGTCAATCTAATTTAATGTAACGTATCCTTTCATTGAGCATGAAGAATTTCCTTTAAAAATTTCCCCTAAGGTAAGTCTGCTAGAGAGAAATTCTCAGGTTTTAATTTTTCTGGGAAATGTCTGAATTTTTTCCCCACTTGTAAATACATACATACATACATAAATATAGTTGTGTGTCATCAAGTTGGTACCGACTCATTTTTGACTCTCCAGCAGGTTTTCAGAGGCAGTAAATCACATGCTAGCATATAGCCCATCCATCTGCTGTGCAGCAGGAGCAGCTGGTGGATTTGAACTGCATGCCTTTGGAAAATGCAATGCTGCTTCTTACCACTAGGCCACCAGAGCTTGGGGTTGGGGAAGGGAATATATATATTTATATGCGTGTGTGTGTATGTGTGTATAAATATATATGTTTTATATATATATATGCATATTTTAAATATATATATATATCTGAAAATTGTACCTTTAAAAATATGTTTATTAAAATATATGTTCTTTTTTTAACCACACATTATTTGCCAATTCAATATTTTCCAGGTCTTTGTTTCCTCGTATTTGAAGGGTAACTTTCCTAGAAATAAAATTCTTGCTTGGGAGTCTTTTTCTTCCAGAATTCAGTATGCAGTACAGCACAGCTTCTGGTCTACATGGTTTGGGACGATAAATCTGCTGTTCATCTAACTGAAGAATCCTTGTATGCAGTCGGTCAGTCCTTTATTGCCACTTTTAGGAATTTCCCTTTACTTGTGGTTTTTGAGACTTTAATTATTATAACATTTCTAGATATAGATCTTTTTTTTTCAGATTTAAATCTAGGTATAGATCTTTGAGATGTCTCTATTTTGTTTGTTACACTTCTTAGATGTGCAGATTAAAATCTGGGAAGTTTGGGGTCATTATCTCATGAAATGATAGCCTCAAAACTATCCCTTTCTTTTCTTTCTGAGCTTCCCATGTGCTGGTATGGTTGATGGTATCCTAGGAGCCTCTCAAGTGCTACTGACACCCCTATACATGAGCCATACATTTATCTTTCTTTGTATGTCTTGGAATTCTTTATTGAAAACTGGGTATTTTAATTACTCTGGTAGGGAGCTCTGGTGGTCTAGTGGACATATAGCAAAGGACATGATGACAAAGGAAATCAATCAGAACCAGTTTTGACAAAGACTGTGGCAATTTAACAATAGAAACCGACCCTCAAGGAGTGTGGCTATCAGACAAAAAACAGACTCTCAGGGAGCTCTGGTGGCCTAGTCGCAAGATGCTGCACTGCAATCCCAGAGGTACGCGGTTCAAATCCACCAGATGCTCTGCTGGAGTAGGAGGGGCAATCTCCTCCTGTATCAGTCAGATCTGATTTGACGTACATATAAAAATAATACAATAAAAATTTTTTAAAAAAACACCCCAAAACCAAAACAGACTCTCAAGGAATGAGGCAAAACAACAGACTCAAGGACAAGATAAACACGATGGCCAAAAGTCACCATACATCATCCATTAGAAGAAATGCACCATCAGTTGTTTAAACCCCACTCCCTGCTAACAAAAGATATATAAACCCTTTTGTAAGATAAAAATGGTGTCAGTCTGTCCTGACCCGTTCACAGTCTGTTATGAACGTCTAATAAACTTCAGTATCTTTCTCTTGCTCTCACTTGGTATTGGTGTCTTGTATTTCTGAGTCAGAACTTTCTGGTTCTTACTCGAAGAGGCCCTTGGACCTCTGTTGGAAATCATCCCCTTGAAAGGAAAGGGCTGTGCTGCTAACTCAAAAGCATCATGTTTGAATCCATCAGTTGCTCCACGGGAGAAAGACGGGTCAGCTCCTCCCATAGATTTACTGCCTCTGAAAACCCCCTGGCAGGTCAGCAGCAAGTTGGTTCCAACTTGATGATACACAACAACCATAATAACAACATTCTATGGTAACTTAGGAAATCAGATTCTACCTCGCTCAGGCTCTGCTGCTGTTGCTGCTTGTAGCTGTTTGTTTGCTTGTTTAATGAGGGTCAGCTGACCTTCACCGTCTAGTGGGTTTTCAGAAGCTATAAGTCACAAAGGAGAAGACTACTCATCTCTCTACCCCAAAACTGCTGGTGGATTCGAACCAGCAGAGAAGTGCTGCTTTTAGGTTAGGAGCACAACTCCCAAGGGACTACACCTAATGTGGCTGTAAAACACAAATCACTAGCTCTCATACCTCCAGACTTTGTGATCAATATTCTGGAAAAATGAAGCTGAGGATCTGCATTTCTAACAAGGTCTTGAAACCACTGATAACCTAGTAGAAAATGAACACATTAATAGGAAACTAGTTTTTCTCTTAAATACCTTGTGATTGTTTGAAATTAACATTTTATACTACCTTGAACATGAACTGCAACTGACAGAACAGTAAGACTAATCTCTCAATTAATAGATACAAAGTAAAGCAAATGCTCTCTTTGCTATAACATTTTCAAAGGGAATAGAATTTTCTCTTAGCCTAGC